TTCGCGGCGTCCGGACTACTGCACCGCGGTCTACTCAACCTTCGAGATCGAGGACGACTTGCGGGACAGCTTCATCCGCGGCTATCAAGCCGACCTCGAGTTTCGCGACAAGTACGCAAACTGTTCCTCTCCCAATCCGGTGCCTTTGCACTATCGGATCCAAGAGGGATACTTGCTTCTTCACTCGCGGGGGAAGGATCTCCTTTGTGTGCCGCAAGATCCCCACTTGCGCACCCGGCTTCTTGGCGAGTTCCACGATGCCCCCGCCTCCGGACACTTTGGAGTCAATCGCACGATTGACCGACTACGCGCGCGCTTTTGGTGGCCCGGTCTCCTCGACGACGTCACGCGCTATTGCGAGTCATGCGAAGTTTGTCGACGTTGCAAACCTCGCAACCATCGTCCGTATGGCAAACTGCGACCATTACCGGTCCCCTTGTGCCGAAGGGAAGCGATTGCCATGGACATCACCAGGCCGTTCCCCAAGCACAAGACGGGCATCGACGGGATACTCACGGTGGTCGACCGCCTCACCAAGTTTGCCATGTTCTTGCCTTGCCACTATCACGCCAAGGCACCGGAATTGGCCGAGGTTCTCTACACCGGTTGGATTCGAACCAAGGGTTACCCCAAGGAAATCGTATGCGACCACGGCACTCGGTTCATGTCCGATTTTTGGTTGGCGCTCATCAAGCGATGGGGCTCATCCCTCAAGCCAAGTTGCACGCCACCCCCAAACCGATGGCCAAACGGAGAGGGCACATCAGACCGCACAGGTCCTTCTTCGCACTCTCATCCGTCCCGACCAAAAGGATTGGGTCGAGCGGCTGCCGGAGGTCGAATTGGCTTACAACTCGTCCATCCATCCGGCCATCGGGATGTCGACGTTTGAGTTTGAGCATGGCTCGCCGGTCAACTCTCCATTGGACACAATCATGCCACGGACGATCGAGAGCGACAACCACCTTCTCTTCATTCGTCGGATGCAAGAACTTCTTGTCAAGGCCCGCGACCAGATGTCGAAGACACAACAACGTATGAGCCAACAGGCCAACCGCCAGCGTCTTCCTTGTCCGTTCCGCGCCAGCGACCTCGTATGGGTTTCCGCTGCAGAATTCAGCCTCGAACAAGACATCTCTCGCAGGCTCCTTCCAAAATGGATGGGGCCCTGGCCGATCGAGGCACCCGCAAGGGACGCACCCGAAGGACCTTCATTCGTCATTAAGGTGCCCACCCACTTGCCCGTCAACCCAAACTTTCACTGTTCCAAGTTGGCCCTCGACACGCCAGCGGAACTTGACGACTTTCCCGGGCGACGATCGCAAGACCCACCCTCAATGGACGGTTTCCAAGAGGTTGGCGACATCATATCCCAGCGACGTTACGGCAATAGGCCGACTGAATTTTTGGTCCACTTCGCATATTGCACCCATAAAGCTGACCGATGGCTGACGCGTGCGGAACTCCAGGCAACAGCCGTCGATGCTCTCGCACGCTACGAACAGAAGTTGAAAGGCAAGCCGGCATCTTCGGCTCCACGACGCACACGCGTCCAAGTACCGCCTTCAAATCATCAGCTTTGCCCCCGACGGCTTGACTTCATAAGGAGGGGGGGGTGTTGCATGCTGAGCCTGCACACGGCCCCATTTGAGGGGCCCGACGTTGCTGAGAGGCCCCCAAGCCGCGTACTATCCAGCACGCGCCCTGAAGGCCCACGATGGCCCTCCAGGCCCTAGGCAGCACGTAGGTAGGTAGGTTTTCGTTTACTTACCCCTTTTTTTTGTGTGTGTGATGTCTTACTTTTGTCTGTTCAGGTGCCGTTTCGGATTCGCAGCCCCAAGGCCGGACCTTGGGACCAGGTACACCGGAGGCAGGCCCGAAACGAGGCCAGGCGCATTTTGGCGCCAAACCGGC